TTATTGCTGCAGATATCACCCGCCTCCATTCGTCTCTCTGGTTGACCTTCTCTTTCCAGTTGATGACACAAAGTGTTTGAAGGTCTGTCTGGATATTATCTCTCCATCGTCTTCTTGGTCTGCCTCGTGGTCTACGACCATTCAGCTCCCTTGTGTGTACAGTTGTTACCTCTCTGTCATATGACATTGTCTCAATACGTAAGACAGTATATTAGCTCCCAAGATGTCAGTGATCAATGGAGATGCAACAGATTGTGAATTTCCTTGTTGCTTTCTCGCTCTCCGTACCCCGCAGGTTGCATCTTGGATGTTTTCACAGATTCATCATAAAACTCAAATATCTGCGATAAAGCTTCCTCTGCTTTTGTCAGCAAACTAAAATTACCCGTCACCCCTACAGAAACAATCGAAAACTATTTCAGTATTGTCTCACAACATACGTGCGATATGCCTTTTAACAAGATAGAAGTATGCAAAGCATATTTTATTATATTTCCTCTGGATACCTTGGATTTTATAATGAGAACTCTTATTATTTTAACAAATGTAGGTGCCAGTCGATGACATCATGTTTAGCTGTTGTCGACGATGGTTTTGTTGGGCCACACATACAATTTATAACATTACTGCGCTCGGTTTTATGCCGTATTACGCATTTGAGTTGTTACTTAATTAGAATAAACACAATGAGATCACAGTCTAGCGTTTGTTTTCACGAGTTAGATGTTGGAAATGTTTGGCTACCTATGAGACGTGGTAGGAATGAACAACTGTAGGCGAGGAGTGAGACTGGAACAACACAGTGTTGGATAGGTCAGAGCGCTCAGTTGTTAATGAAATTTAAAATACATTTCGTTCGTTCGTTGTGCTCATAGTTTCAGAGCCATAAAAGAAAGCTGGTCCTATAAGGGTTTGATATATTGTGAACTTGGAGTCACGAAAAAAGGTTTTTAATTTTAGCAGATGGGTTAGGGCCTTGTTTACTGCTCAGTATCGATGTAAATCTAAATTAATCACATTATTTAAGACCGCTCAATGTCGATGTTTATCTAAACAAATCCCATTATTTAGGACCGTTCAGTGTCGACGTATATCTAACTAAATCTCATTTTTTTAAGACCGTTCAGTGTCGATATAGGACAGCTCAGTGTCGATGTTTATGCAGACAAATCGCATTATTTTAAACTGTTCAGTGTCGATGAAAATCTAAATAAATGACATCATTTAAGACCGTTCTGTGTCGGTGTATATCTAAACAAATCTTATTATTTAAGACCGTTCAGTTTCAATGTATATCTAAACAAATCTTATTATTTAAGACCGATCAGTGTCGATGTATATCTAAACAAATCACATTATTTAAGACCGATCTGTGTCGGTGAATATCTAAACAAATCACATTATTTAAGACCGATCTGTGTCGGTGAATATCTAAACAAATCTTATTAATTAAGACTGTTCAGTGTCGATATATTTCTAAGCGAATCACATTATTTAAGACCGTTCAGTGTCCATGTATTTCTAAGCGAATCACATTATTTAAGACCGTTCAGTGTCGATATATGTCTAAGCGAATCACATTATTTAAGACCGTTCAGTGTCGATATATGTCTAAGCGAATCACATTATTTAAGACCGTTCAGTGTCGATATATTTCTAAGCGAATCACATTATTTAAGACCGTTCTGTGTCGATATATGTCTAAGCGAATCACATTATTTAAGACCGTTCAGTGTCGATATATGTCTAAGCGAATCACATTATTTAAGACCGTTCAGTGTCGATATATGTCTAAGCGAATCACATTATTTAAGACCGTTCAGTGTCGATATATGTCTAAGCGAATCACATTATTTAAGACCGTTCAGTGTCGATATATGTCTAAGCGAATCACATTATTTAAGACTGTTCAGTGTCGATGTTTTTCTAAGCGAATCACATTATTTAAGACTATTCAGTGTCGATATATTTCTAAGCGAAACACATTATTTAAGACTGTTCAGTGTCGATGTATTTCTAAGCGAATCACATTATTTAAGACCGTTCAGTGTCGATATATTTCTAAGCGAATCACATTATTTAAGACCGTTCAGTGTCGATATATGTCTAAGCGAATCACATTATTTAAGACCGTTCAGTGTCGATATATGTCTAAGCGAATCACATTATTTAAGACCGCTTTAAGACGGATTCTCAACAATCTTATCAACGGATCCGGGCATGTTTATCGCCCTTAGTCAAGTCGCTTGCACGGGCAGCTGAAGATCAGCACCACAAGGCTTGTCCTGTGACTATATTATTCTTGATGCTTTATATACAAAAGGGTGCGAAACGAAATATAGAAGCTCTGGAGTAGAGAACGAGTTTGATGTAGAGGACGAGGACTGTTTGGGACACAGTATAATTCCGACTTTACAAACGTTTTAGACACTAACGCCTTGCAAATGGCAACCGCCCGCAGGTTACCCTGAAAATGAAGAGTTATCGCTTGTGTGATGTCCTGGTGGGGTAGAAAGTCAGTCGGTCAGTGAAATACGCATAACATAATGGTTCCTCTACCTCTTCTAGCCTCCGCTAATACTGCTGTTGTTGCTACTTCTATTGCTAACACCACCATCCCCAGCATTACCACCACGACCAATATTTCTGCTGCTTTGTCTATTCCATATACTGCAGCTACCACTGTATTTTTTTAGGCATAATAAATACCACAAAACTAGGCCCTAACACGATTTTTGCAGATGCTTTTATTATAAGCCCTACCACAAAAATAAACACATATTCAAAGCAACGTTTTCCCGTGAAGAATTGAAATAATTGCACACCAACAATAGATTGCACAATTTATTGCTGGGCAAATGTCATTGTGTCTCATCAGGTGCGTTACCGCAGATTTACTTTAACATTCCACCACCACTGTTACTAGTACCGCCACCACTACTGCTACCGCCACCACCACCACTACAACCACCACTACCACAACCACCACTACCACTAGTACCACCACCACTACCACAACCACCACCACCACTACCACCACCACAGCTACCACCACCACAACTACAACTACCACCACAACCACCACCACTACCACCACCACCACTACCACCACCACAACTACCACCACCACAACTACCACCACAACAAATACCACCACCACTACCACTACAAATAGTACCACCACCACTACCACCACCACAACTACCACCACCACCACAACTACCACCACCACAGCTACCACCACCACAACTACCAGCACCACAACTACCACCACCACAACTACCACCACCACCACAACTACCACCACCACAACTACCACCACACCACAACTACCACCACCACAACTGCCACCGCCACCACCACTACCATTAGTACCACCACCACTACCACCACCACTACCACCACCACTACCACCACTAGTACCACCACCACTACCACTACCACAAATACCACCACCACCACAACTACCACCACCACTACCACCACCACCACACTACCACCACTACCACTAGTACCACCACCACCACAACTACTACCACCACAACTACCACCAATACCACCACTACCACCACACTACTACCACCACCACTACCACTACCACCACTACCACCATCACTACTATGATATGGCTATCTCTTTTTGGATTTCCAGTAAACGTCTCAGATGATTTACAGTGATTAATGTGTGTTCGACTTTTTACAGGAACTTTAGGTCAGCCCGAAAATCTGAGAGCAGTGCAGCAAGGAGAAGGTCAATCCCCGAGCTACGACTTCTCCAGGAACTACTGCCTGCCTCCACAGCAACATCCTCTTCAGCAGCAGCAGCAGCAGGAGGAAGTTGTATCTATTGTCGGTGGAAGTTGCACCACCCACGGCACACCAATGTTGCTTCTCCAGCCTCAGGTTAGAGTCTACAACGTGTTTTCTGAGATACTCGATGACACTTATAGGAATTGTGTGTGGTCAGGTCACTGCCATCATTGTCAAATATGGGCCTTGGCTAAACATAAACTAGCCTCATGTCATTACAATAGTGATGAAATCTTATTAACAACCATGTGGTGCGGCATGGACTGGTGCCGTTGAATACGACGGAACCTTGGACAACCATGTGGTGCGGCATAGACTGGTGCCGTTGAATGCGACGGAAACTTGGACAGCCATGTGGTGCGGCATGGACTGGTGCCGTTGAATACGACGGAACCTTGGACAACCAAGGTATGTCTATGACGACTACATTCAGGTCACTAAACCGTGGACGGTGGTAGAGAGTGACCACTGGCGTTTAGCTTGCAATAAGTAAAAGTGAAGTTCAGTTTAATGAGTCCTGAACAGAATAGATTGTCCACCCATGTAATTTACAGTTATGGTTACAAAATAGCGTAGATGGTAGCAAACCTATTGACAAGTGTACTTCTGAATGTGTTCAATCACAGATGCTTGGTTTAAGTAAGGTCGTGTACACTGAGACATCTATGTGAAGCTGAAACTAAGATTACCAGATCTCTGTCATCACGAGACACTACATTGTCAGATACTTGACTGCAGACTGAGACGACAGTGTGTTAGTCTTACATCAGGAAGTATCAGTAAAGAGGAGAAGGGTGGATGTCAGGGGCCTAGATCCTATTAAAGGTGCGAGTTACACACATAGACACAAACACACACATACAGACACACACACAAACTTGGCTCCCCCTCCCCATTCCATCTCCCCGTTTTAGTTTAGGTCTCTTGTAGAGAATGCTTTATAAAGTTGGCATGTTTTTAATACACTTCACAATTAGCTGGAATGGTTATTGGCAACAAAGCGGCCAGAAAGGAAACATACTAACTAACTTTAGTCGTCTTTGACTATTGCTCCATATATATATATGTATATATATGCATATATATATATATATATATATATATATATATATATATATATATATATATATATATATATATATATATATATATATATATATAAAAATGTTAACTTATTTATTTTCAGGCAAGCTACGACGCAAGTGGATCATTGGGCGGGAGTTCCTACACTCCTGGTTCCTACTCCAACACGATCAGCACGCAGTCAGCCATGACGGACATCAACATCATGGCTGCCTCGTTCTCGCTGCCACTGCACGACTTCCAGGCGGAAGTGACCTCATACTCTGGAGACAACATGTCCCCTGACCACTTCTCCTCCGGTTATGAAAACAGCCAGTCAAGCGCAACCGGCTATGATCAGTCCCACCAGCCGCACCATGTACCACAACAGTGCTACGTCGAAAGTTACAGCTTCGATAGTGGCTTTGTCCAGCAACGAGAATTGCCCAAACCCATCTCGTATGGCGCCACAGCAGTTACAGCCACCACAACATCGAACATCGCTAATATCTTTAGCAGAAACAATAGCCACAACAACGATCCACTAACTGCGACCAAAGACACCACAAACACTGCGACCAACGACGGTATGTTTGGGAATGCATCCAGTGTGGAGAAATACCCGGTTCTGTCAGGACATAGCATTAATGAAGACGCCTATGCTCCTAGTTACTCGGACTACTACACAGAGCAACAGAGATACATTGACTCCACTTCCAGGTTTGGAATGGATGCCTCAAAAACTTACCTGAAACAACACTTTCCTGAAGCCAGCCCACAGGATTTACTGTATTCTCAACAGATGCCCTTCTCAGATTTAGATCAGAAGGCTGGACATATGTATGGACATACGGTGTTCGACGCTCAGACATCTGGGCCGTACTGTCATGACGGGGGTAGCCTCTACCAGCCCTACCACCCAGCCTTTTATCTTGGACAGGGTGGTCACTACAGCACGGGCATGCCTTTCCACTCGCCAGCAGTGCACCATGGGAGCTCGTACAGAAGCGATTTCTCCCTGTCCATGGGCCCACACCACCCATCGCACCTCCACCACTCACACAGGAGAACTGCACTCACAATTCCCACTCCGCCTGTGTCCGATAGGTAAGTCATCGTCCTCATTATCATCATCATCATTCAACATCATCGCCATCATCATCGTCATCGTCATTATTATCATGGCCATCAACAGCATACTCTTCACCACAGTGTGCCTTTTCAAATGAAATAAACCTTCATACTCCATTGATGATCTAAGACACTTCAGCCCTTGATCTGTTCGTCCAAAGATAACCCAGCCTTTGACTGTAGGTTTTTGTTGGTCCTCCTGTGTTATAGTACACTAGAGGTTCAGGGTATACAGATAAATATTGGGGGAACAAACTAGAATTTAGTCAATGTTTACGCTGCTGTTGAATCTCTTGTCACAAAGGAACCTTGGTTGAGAAGGGGGGGGGGGGGGGGGTAAAGTTGGGAGATGTGAACCAGCGTCATTGCATACGGTTATAAACCATAAGTACTCTGCCACCAGTAAGGGCAGATAATAAAAAACTGTCCGCCTGTGTCGCTATCCGCACTTAACTCCGTAGCTACAGTTACGCTCCTCCATTTACCCCAGAGTGTCAACTCTGGTACCCATTTCCTAGAGACTGGGTGAACCCCGGGAACCGCCTGGTTTCGAAGAACGACTATTGGCTGCAGCGAGTTGCAGCTGGATTTGAAAGCGGGTCTCCTATCGACTGCGCTAACGCCACCACTTAAAGGAACATTGGGACTGGCTCAACGAGTTGGAGAAAGTTCCAGGTAATAGGTTTTTCATCTGTGGGGATTTCAATGCGCGGAACAGAGCAAGGGACAGTAGTGGGGAAAATAGGCAAGGAAATGTTTTAGCGGAGGCTATGGTGGATGGGGACTTAGTCTGTATAAATGACGGTAGGCAAACTACAATTAGACCTGGTGAGGCAGACACGGCCATTGATTTGGCTTTTGTTACCCAGTCGGCAGTGCTGGACACAAAGTGTCCTAGGCGATCCTGAGAGTGACCATACGCCATGCTCAGTCTTGATTTCTGAAGCTACCAAGATTAGGGCTGTGAGAATGCGCCAGAATATTTAGTATGAAAGGGCCAGTAACCTTCTTGGACAGCTTCGACAGAAAATATGCAGCAGAACCACCATCTCTACTTATGTGCAGCCTCCATGGTGGACCCAAGAACTAGAACAGGCATGGAGATCAAAGCGATCAGCAGTTAAGAAATTACAGAAAGTGCGAAAGGCACCTCACAGGTTAAGAGAGAATGTAGAGAGGCTAGAAAGAGTAAGAAAAGAAAAAGTAGAAGATTTAAAGAGTTTTGCAGCAGATGAAAAAAAAAAATGGCTAAATGGGAACATTTTATGCGCTAAATTGGAAGGGCTAGATCACTGGGAAGGTTTTTGAGACTTCACAGACAGATGCACAGGAAGGATCGGCCTATTGCAACAGGTATTTTATACACTGATAATGAAATACCGATGATAACAGACAAAGAGAAAGGCGTAGCATTTTTTAAGATATTTATAGCCGAAACTGATCATTATGATAGGGAGCTTAGAAATACAGTTACAGATAATATGTATAATACAATAAATGATAATTATTTTCAGGGTATATTTAGGGTAGAGGATCTGAAACATGTATTGCAAAACACAAAAGACAATGCGCTGGGGTCAGATGGAGTCACGTATGCCCACTTAAAGAGCATGAGTGATGAGGACTCAAGGGAGATGGCTTTTTACTTCAACCAGAGCATCAGAACAGCTTCGGTACCCCAGGAATGGGTACACAGTTACCTATTTCCACTTCGAAAACCAGGCAAAGGTCATTCGAAACTCAGCGGTTTCACGATTATCACCCTACAAAATACTGTTGGCCAGGTGCTTGAGAAGATGATTGCTGTTAAACTACAAATCTTTTTGGAAAGGAAACAAATCCTGCCAAAAAGGTTGGGTAGTTAACGGCCACGGAAGGAGACCTGGTCCAGCGCAGCTTCTTTTGCGTTTGATATTTATGAGGGGTTCCAGAACAGACAGGAGACGGATGTGGCAGCACTAGATCTTGAGGATGCCTACAGTATAGTCGAATATGATATTTTGATTTCTTCACTCATGGAGAATGGGATTTGTCCGTGGTTGGTTTGTGAGTTGGATATCAGCTGTCCTGCATTTACGTATGGCTGCCGTTCGCCTGGGTACATGGACCTCAGAACCATGTAGTGTCGTCTGGGTACATGGACCTCAGAACCATGTAGTGTCGTCTGGGTACATGGACCTCAGAACCATGTAGTGTCGCCTGGGTACATGGACCTCAGAACCATGTAGTGTCGCCTGGGTACATGGACCTCAGAACCATGTAGTGTCGTCTGGGTACATGGACCTCAGAACCATGTAGTGTCGCCTGGGTACATGGACCTCAGAACCATGTAGTGTCGCCTGGGTACATGGACCTCAGAACCATGTAGTGTCGTCTGGGTACATGGACCTCAGAACCATGTAGTGTCGTCTGGGTACATGGACCTCAGAACCATGTAGTGTCGCCTGGGTACATGGACCTCAGAACCATGTAGTGTCGCCTGGGTACATGGATCTCAGAACCATGTAGTGTCGCCTGGGTACATGGACCTCAGAACCATGTAGTGTCGCCTGGGTACATGGACCTCAGAACCATGTAGTGTCGCCTGGGTACATGGACCTCAGAACCATGTAATATTTCCCCGGTACTTCCCCGGGGTTGCCAATGATGCTCTTGCATGTCGGCAGGGGAGAGATAGGCGACGGCTAGCTCGCGAGGCAACTGTAGACAAAGTGACTGACTCGCCTGCAGAAATGGGTGCTCTCATCAACTCAGAAACGGCAGCTGTTTTGTGGTGATCTCTGAACAATATAATTGTAAAAGCTAACGTTTCAAACCTCACAGTTAACACCAGTATCAACAAAAGAGAAAGCAAACTGAGGTACCTGTGTATCATTTTCTTTAGAATCCTGTCCTTCAGGGATCATGTGGATGCAGTTGCAGTGAAATGCCAAAAAGGACTCAATGCTCTCAAGATTATGGCAGCAATGGACATGAAACAAAGAATGTTGTTCATAATGTTCCAGCATGTGATTCTGTCGGTGATAGATATTATGGACTTGGCATGTTTACCATATCAAAGAGTCAGCTGATGAAACTTGAACGCATACAGAATAAAGCCATGCGGGTGATCCTGGGATGTACAAGAGATACCCCGGTAAAATGTTTGCGAAATATACTTGCACTGCCTACTATTGGAGATAGGCTCAAAGTTCTGCAAGCAAAGTCATATCTCAGAGTAGCTGCGGACAAGAGGCACCTCCTGCATGAAACCCTGGTAGAGCTAAGGGTCACAGTCTGAAAAGAGGAAAGTCTTGGATGGCGCTGGCTGAAGACACAATTGACCATGTGTGCAGGCTTGATAAATTTAGGCGAGGAGAGGAGTGGGTCAAGGTAATCCGATTAGGTTTCAGACTGGTGTAGGGTTCTAACCACTTTAGGACGTGAGTGCAGGGACTGGCTAGCTGGAGCTGCAGAATCAGAAGTTCAACAAATGATTCATGACAATTGCCCCCCCCCCCCTCTTTCCCCCTTCCCCTAAATGATGTGAATGTATATACAGATGGCTTTGTGTTGAGGGGCAGACGAAGTTTACGGGGATTAGTGGAGAAGGCGAATGTACTTCTTTTGGTGCAACAAAGCCTGGCTTATGAGATCACAGCGTCTAGTATGAGAATGGAGTTGAAGGCAGTCACTGCTAAGAATCAGCTGTACACACATGTCGTTATTGTAACTGACTCACAGAGCGTGTTGAGAAAGGTTAGGATAGGCATGCTGCGTGCAGAGTGGCACACATCACTTCATGGGTCCTAGGTAGTTAGTATCCTTCGGATATTTTCGTCAGGGTATGCCAGTGTGATGGCAAATGAGCAGGCGGATAGACTGGCCGGTACTGCACCACTTAGTGGTGAACTCATATATGACAAGCTGGATGTTTCAATGGCCTTTGGAGTGAACAGTGCCGAGGCACAGACGGTCTGAGGAAAATGGCAGTGTGGGAAGTTACAAGGAAATGTGGCCGACACTCGACACTCAGGGGAAAGGCGGGACGGATTTACAATCAGACAGATACTGGTACCATCGGCTTTTTAACTATTCGCTTGCTGACGAAGATATGGACGGAGCGCTTATGGTGATGTCCCGAGTGCTGTGATGTCGATTCCTTATTCAACAGTCATCATTCAACATTGAAAAAGTATCGTGGTTTTGTCGACTCACTGATACTAGGTTGTAGCCCAGTGTCGTGGTTTTGTCGTCTTACTGATAGTAGAGGTTGTATCCCAGTGTCGTGGTTTGTCGTCTCACTGATACTAGGTTGTAGCCCAGTGTCATGGTTTTGTCGTCTCACTGATACTAGGTTGTAGCCCAGTGTCGTGGTTTGTCGTCCCACTGATACTAGGTTGAAGCCCAGTGTCGTGGTTTTGTCGACTCACTGATACTAGGTTGTAGCCCAGTGTCGTGGTTTTGTCGTCTCACTAACATTAGGTTGTAGCCCAGTGTCATGGTTTTGTCGTCTCACTCGTAACCAAAACTATTCTTCGTGTTTCTAGCACTGATTGGTTGATTTTGCACTAGTAGTACCTATCTGTTGCTGTTGCTTTTTTTTTTTTTTTTAACCCAGGGCCGACATTTGTAAAGTACAGTTTACCTAGGCAAGAGTCAAATAGTACCACATTTGTGCCAAAGTTCCTACTTGGGCAGCCATGGATCTTGCCCATGATCTGCCTTTAGAATGATGAAAGCTGACAAAAGACTGCACATGATAACGTGTAACGTATGTCCTACTGCATTCTAACCGTGCTTGTTTGTTGACATTTTGGTAGCTTGGACATCCAGAAATACCAGATGGAGTCGGCGAGAAGTCCCACGAGTCCGGACAACAGATGTTCGCCACTGAGGGATGGAAGCCACCAGATCAAGGAGAGCCTGTTGTGTGCTGTGTGTGGCGACAACGCAGCCTGCCAGCACTACGGGGTCCGCACATGTGAGGGCTGTAAGGGCTTCTTCAAGGTAAGATGACCTTCAGAAGCTATATCTTATCATCAACATCATCATTATTTACCTTGTCGACTGGCGAGACCGATCATGCCTCTCTACAATCTGCGATCTTCTACCTCATGTATCAATCAGTTCAGCTGTTGACACGCCTCTATTCTACCACAAAAGGCTATTAAGAATCCTCCTATGTTATCGCCCGCTGTTTGCTTTCCAGAGACCTGCCCAGTTGTCACACCATGCTCTTGTTTTCCTTGTTCTCGTCACATGACCCAGCAGTGATGACGGTCTGTTTCTGATGTTTGTGATCAGTTGGGTTCGGGCCTTCCCATCTTTCAAAACATCTGGGTAGATCTTTTTAGCTGACTGATAAATTCTAAGACTTCTCTGAAAACCACACCTTGAAGGCCTCGGTAAATTAATTGGCTTGTTTATTATTTGTTCAGCATTAGCAGCCATACGTGAAAAGTGGCTTTTTATAGAATGCGATAATTATTTTTATACTTCCAGTGTTATTATTTTACTGCTCAAAATGTTCCCATTTCATAAAAGGCAGTTTTGTCCTGTCCGCTGAAATTATGTATCTGTGTGATACTTAAATTGCTCTACTTGTCCTAAAAAAACACCTATGAACTTTTTTATATACAAAGTACAATTCTTTTCTTTCATATCGCCAGTGCTTTTGTCTTTCCAATATTTAGGCTATGGCCAATTCTTTCACATTTTACCACCTCCATGTCTATCAGTTCCAGTTGTTCTTTCTGGCTTGTCGCTATCAAGACCGTGAGATTGATGATGAGTGAGGATTATCTACAGAGCACTCCGGACAGATCCTTGGGTGCTCCTATCTCCTCCTCAAAAACTCCGCAAGGTAAAACGACCGATGACGCCTACTCTGTTTTGATGAATCAAACGTTTGCCCTCTTAGTGAGATGATCATTTCTTTCAGGTGTCACCCCACGTCCATCAGTCTAGACAGGGATAGAGAGTCATGCCCTTAGGCCTGCTCGATGGCCTTGAAAACATCCCTTCTGTCCAGTACTGCACCAGTCACAGCAACCGCAGTGTCTGAAAGTTAATCTGCACGCTCGTTCCCTCGAATACCCGCATCACCCGACACAAAGATAAAAACAAGCCCAGCAATTCGTCTAGTGATTAGTGAACCAGTTCGTTCATGGCTGAAGAATCCAACCTGAATTTTCTAAAGCATGTTCATTGAGTCTGTAAGTGTACATGCGTATGTGAGTAGCCAGTCATTCTAGTGCCCTTGTTACAACCATCGTTTACGTGATAAGGCAACTACTTGTAACAGCAAAGGGGCCTTTACTCTCCTTGATGGTTTTCGTGTACACTCCAGCATAATTTCATCTGTGTTTTGTTGTCAGTGTTTTGACTAAAGTGTCTACAATGTGTTTCGTCAGTCAGTGTTTTGACTAAAGTGTCTACAATGTGTTTCGTCAGTCAGTGTTTTGACTAAAGTGTCTACAATGTGTTTCGTCAGTCAGTGTTTTGACTAAAGTGTCTACAATGTGTTTCGTCAGTCAGTGTTTTGACTAAAGTGTCTACAATGTGTTTCGTCAGTCAGTGTTTTGACTTAAGTGTCTACAATGTGTTTCGTCAGTCAGTGTTTTGACTAAAGTGTCTACAATGTGTTTCGTCAGTCAGTGTTTTGACTAAAGTGTCTACAATGTGTTTCGTCAGTCAGTGTTTTGACTAAAGTGTCTACAATGTGTTTCGTCAGTCAGTGTTTTGAATAAAGTGTCTACAATGTGTTTCGTCAGTCAGTGTTTTGACTAAAGTGTCTACAATGTGTTTCGTCAGTCAGTGTTTTGACTAAGTGTGTCTACAATGTGTTTCGTCAGTCAGTGTTTTGAATAAAGTGTCTACAATGTGTTTCGTCAGTCAGTGTTTTGAATAAAGTGTCTACAGTGTGTTTCGTCAGTCAGTGTTTTGACTAAAGTGTCTACAATGTGTTTCGTCAGTCAGTGTTTTGAATAAAGTGTCTACAATGTGTTTCGTCAGTCAGTGTTTTGAATAAAGTGTCTACAATGTGTTTCGTCAGTCAGTGTTTTGAATAAAGTGTCTACAATGTGTTTCGTCAGTCAGTGTTTTGAATAAAGTGTCTACAATGTGTTTCGTCAGTCAGTGTTTTGAATAAAGTGTCTACAATGTGTTTCGTCAGTCAGTGTTTTGAATAAAGTGTCTACAATGTGTTTCGTCAGTCAGTGTTCTGACTAAAGTGTCTACAATGTGTTTCGTCAGTCAGTGTTTTGAATAAAGTGTCTACAATGTGTTTCGTCAGTCAGTGTTCTGACTAAAGTGTCTACAATGTCAGGGATCTGCTCTCTACAGCCTGAGAATAGTCCAGTAGTGTACATAGATAGTCCAGTAGTGTACATAGATAGTTCTGTATGTTTGTTTCTACAGAGGACAGTATATAAGTTTATGTAGATAGTTCTGTATGTATGTTTCTACAGAGGACAGTATAGAAGTGTATGTAGATAGTTCTGTGTGTGTGTTTCTACAGAGGACAGTCAAGAGTAGATAGTTCTGTGTGTGTGTTTCTACAGAGGACAGTCAAGAGTAGATAGTTCTGTGTGTGTGTTTCTACAGAGGGCAGTCAAGAGTAGATAGTTCTGTGTGTGTGTTTCTACAGAGGGCAGTCAAGAGTAGATAGTTCTGTGTGTGTGTTTCTACAGAGGACAGTATAGAAGTATATGTAGATAGTTCTGTATGTGTGTTTCTACAGAGGACAGTCAAGAGTAGATAGTCCTGTATGTGTGTTTCTACAGAGGACAGTCAAGAGTAGATAGTCCTGTATGTGTGTTTCTACAGAGGACAGTCAAGAGTAGATAGTCCTGTATGTGTGTTTCTACAGAGGACAGTCAAGAGTAGATAGTCCTGTATGTGTGTTTCTACAGAGGACAGTCAAGAGTAGATAGTTCTGTGTGTGTTTCTACAGAGGACAGCATAGAAGTGTATGTAGATAGTTCTGTATGTTTGTTTCTACAGAGGACCGTGCAGAAGAGCGCCAAGTACGTGTGTCTGGCAGACAAGAGCTGTCCTGTTGACAAGCGCAGGCGCAACCGCTGTCAGTTCTGTCGATTCCAGAAGTGTCTGGCTGTTGGAATGGTGAAAGAAGGTAGGTCATTCATTTCATAGTTGTTGTCTTCATCGCTACCAACACCTTGTTTTCTTCTACGCTACTATGCCCCTTTTCTCTTCGTCGTTTCCGTTGTCTTGATATCTTTGTGGCAACCATCATATTCGTTATCAGTATCCCCATTATCATCGTCATTATATCTTCAGTATTCTCACTATCACTATCTTCAGTTTAAATCTCACTATCAGTTTCAAGGTTATAGCTATCATGGTGGAAACTTTAGCTGAAAACTACAATGCACCCACAAGACAGGCGATATACACAGATAAATGAATAGACAGAAAAAGGGCAGGCCCTCGTAAACGATGCCATTCAATCAAGAATGAATTTGCACAAGTTCCCTAGTGCATGCTGCGTGCTTGACAAATGAGCCGGCATAGCAGACGTTGCTGGAGTACGCTTGGCCTTGCTCTTTTCTGGCAAATTAAAAAAAAAAAAAAACAGTTGATGAGGAGCACACAGCAGATCTAATGTTTAAAAAAAAAAAGGGGGGGGGGTGGCACTGTTTTTTTTTTTGGGGGGGGGGGGTGCTATAATGATAAAGGAGATGGGTTTATAGGTGAAAACAAATTGTGATCTCTGATGGTCCTTGCACTGTGGTGAGAGTCGCATCATGTTTCTTCAAACAAGGGCCAGATCGGAGCATGAATGCATACTTCCATAGGGTTTTAACACGATCCATGAACACAGTTCCGTGTTCGCTCTTATTTCTACGCCTTTCTTCTTCTTCTGTGAATGCCGATCAATACCCAAGAATGTCAAAAGATTGGCTTCTTGAGAAGCTGAGCGTGCTCCTTGTGTCCACCCACGAATCCGAGTAATAAATACATGCAGCATGTAGCAAAGATGTTACCTGGCCTCAGGTACACGATGACATTCTTCCTGTCTTCGAGTCTCTGGGAGCGCAGCACGAGGCCGCCAGTCCGCTTGAACGTAACCTTTCTAGCATTGTCGCTCTTGAGAACGATGGCCTTGAGAATAGTGTCTTACGTTCTGTAGTTTTGTCTGGCACAGGCTGGGCCGTGCAAGCACCCGCGGGCATGAATATTCCAGGTCGTGTTTCCTGGGCCATGTTCGTTCCTTTCACGGCGTCTGTGTTGTTATTATATCGTCCTAAATCGTAGAGTTTATCTCGGCGTTTACAAATCTCCTCAAGGGGTTGTTGTAAGGTTAATGGTACTTGTAAACTGTCAGTCGGTGTAAATGTCACAGGGGTCAGAGCGGCAACTTCTACGAGTTCCTTGTTGCAACAGTATCCTCCTACAAGGCTTCACTAGCATGTGAAGAGTTAAGCACTGGGGTGTTCTTAGATGTGCTTCTGGAAGAGCACCATGCTACATCAGACGACCTAACTCGTCTCTAAAATACAAGATAATGCTTCTTATTCTCACAGGAGCCGGCTTTCCCAAGCTGGTTACACAAGATTTACGGGACAGGCAGTTGTAGTGTCTGCATTCTTGTGTTATCATCGATTATCAAGTTGAAAGTTCTCGCCAGCCTACTTCAACAAATAGAAAATTTCTGTTTAGCCTACTCTATGTGTTTAGCCCACTCTGTGTGTTTAGCCCACGCTGTGTGTTTAGCTATTGTTTCTGTCTTTTCTTCAGATTCCATTGTTGCCAGATTTCCCACTTATTCTCTATAGGTTTACATTACATATGCTATATTTCCTAAATTTGCAAGATAGGATACACTTGAGGTTTCAACTTCATCGCAAGCGGATCACGATATATATGTTTGGTCCCTGTGCCAGTAAATATTACACGAAATGCCCCGTGCTGTTCCATTTGAAAAAAAAAAATCAATTCAAACGAACCTTGACACCTGGCAAAAGAGAGAAACATGCATAAGTAGTAAATGCATAAGGCAGCAGCTAGAGCTGCCAACACCGAGACTCGCCACCAGAATTGAGATGTTGCTATAACTGACTTACTTTATCACAGCCGAATCACCCCAGCTGGGAGACAGACCTAATCAGTAGCCATGGTTGTATGTGTCTTGTTTCAGTTGTGAGAACTGATGGACTGAAGGGCAGACGAGATCAGTAGCCATGGTTGTATGTGTCTTGTTTCAGTTTTGAGAACTGATGGACTGAAGGGCAGACGAGATCAGTAGCCATGGTTGTATGTGTCTTGTTTCAGTTGTGAGAACAGACGGACTAAAGGGCAGACGAGATCAGTAGCCATGGTTGTATATGTCTTGTTTCAGTTGTGAGAACAGACGGACTAAAGGGCAGACGAGATCAGTAGCCAAGGTTGTATATGTCTTGTTTCAGTTGTGAGAACAGACGGACTGAAGGCCAGACGAGATCAGTAGCCATGGTTGTGTGTGTCTTGTTTCAGTTGTGAGAACAGACGAACTGAAGGGCAGACGAGATCAGAAGCCATGGTTGTGTGTGTCTTGTTTCAGTTGTGAGAACAGACGAACTGAAGGGCAGACGAGATCATTAGCCATGGTTGTGTGTGTCTTGTTTCAGTTGTGAGAACAGACGGACTGAAGGGCAGACGAGATCATTAGCCATGGTTGTGTGTGTCTTGTTTCAGTTGTGAGAACAGACGGACTGAAGGGCAGACGAGATCATTAGCCATGGTTGTGTGTGTCTTGTTTCAGTTGTGAGAACAGACGGACTGAAGGGCAGACGAGATCAGTAGCCATGGTTGTGTGTGTCTTGTTTCAGTTGTGAGAACAGACAGACTGAAGGGCAGACGAGATCATTAGCCATGGTTGTGTGTGTCTTGTTTCAGTTGTGAGAACAGACGGACTGAAAGGCAGACGAGATCAGTAGCCATGGCTGTATGTGTCTGGTTTCAGTTGTGAGAACAGACGGACTAAAGGGCAGACGAGATCATTAGCAATCGTTGTATGTGTCTTGTTTCAGTTGTGAGAACAGACGGACTGAAGGGCAGACGAGGGAGATTGCCGTCAAAACCAAAATCTCCCCAGGAAACTGCGCCATCGCCTCCTATCAGCTTGATCACAGCCTTGGTTCGAGCCCACGTAGATACATGCCCTGACATTCCTAACTTGGACTACAGCCAGGTAAATATTTGATCTGCCATCACTGACACTCGTAGATCCCTCAGGTTTGTGAGGAAGAGAAAGGGGAGGGGTGTACAATTATGACAAGAAGACAAAGAGAAACATGAAATCTGAACCACACATGGTAACACAACAGATACGTTAGCAGTTACAGATGGAATCCAGCGCTGACCAACTTCGTGAATGTCCAGTGGCTGTTTTATGGTTTTCTCAACCCGTGGAAAGCAATAGCTGGCATTGGTCTTCAAGCTGACATTACAGTAAAGTCACGGTGCCATAGTGAACACGTCTTGTGACAGTTTTTGTTTCTTATTTTTCTTTTCTATAACCTGGAAAAAAAAGGGGCGAAAATGGGTTGAGAGTCGGGGGGGGGGGGGGGGGGGGGGGGACTTGTAACTGTTGTTTAGTCTTCTATCTTTTATATCCTGGAGCAAAAAGACTTTCTGATTTAGTCTGGAGGACAAAAACTCTAGCACATATCTTCAGTATTCCTCGTCTATAATATAAATCAGAAAAGTACAACGGCCTCATTGGCTGCTCCCTCTTTTACCAGCGGTAGCGATGATATACCCCTACAAACACACATAACCACGCATGCACACGCATCCACTCACAGCGAGTGGACTTCTAAAAGCAGAGGGACAGAAAACTCACACAAAGAACACATCCACTATAAGGCTCCACGGTTGCTTGGGTATCACAAAGAATAAATCCACTGTAAGGCTCCACAGTAGCTCGGGTATCGCAAAGAACACATCCACTATAAGGCTCCACGGTTGCTCGGGTATCACAAAGAATACATCCACTATAAGGCTCCACAGTTGCTCGGGTGTCACAAAGAACACATCCACTATAAGGCTCCACGGTTGCTTGGGTATCACAAAGAATACATCCACTATAAGGCTCCACAGTTGCTCAGGTATCACAAAGAACACATCCACTATAAGGCTCCACGGTTGCTTGGGTATCACAAAGAACACATACACTATAAGGCTCCACGGTTGCTTGGGTATCACAAAGAATACATCCACTATAAGGCTCCACAGTTGCTCGGGTATCACAAAGAACACATCCACTATAAGGCTCCACGGTTGCTAGGTGATCACTAAGAGCAACCAGGCATATAACATCAAACATTCATTGTCTATAGGACTGATTGGTGTTGTTCTGACAGTTCCAGGTGTGCAGACACGACGACTCCGGTGACGGACGAGAAGATGCAGTCAGGTCCTTCTACAACATCATGTTGCAGAGTATGGACGTCCTGCGAGCCTGGGCCGAGAAGGTTCCGGGTTTCTGTGAGCTGCCCAAGGATGACCAGGAGCTGCTCTTTCAGTCTGCATCTCTGGAGTTGTTTGTTCTCAAGACTGCTTACAGGTGCGACTAGAGGCTGACATTCAGTCTCATCTTCATCTTCATGTCATCAGCAATATCATCACCATTATCATCAATACCACTTTTATCATCATCACCACTGTTAAAATTATAACCATCATTAACACTGTTATCATTAACGTCATCACCAGTATTATCATGATTATCATTGCCACTATTATCATTATCATCATCACCACTTATCATCATCACTATTATCAAAAAACAACTATTATTATTTAAACCAAAATTATCATTATCCTCCCCATTTTTATTGACACAACTGTTATCATTAACATCATCACCACTATTATCATTGCCTCCACTGTTACCATTATCATTACTCTTATCATTATCATTATCATTATTATTATCCACAATTGTTATCAGAACCGTTATCACCACAAATATCCGTATCACACTTTATATCATTATCATCGTCATAAAATGATAACACCACGGTTGTCATCATCATCATCCCCGTCAGTGATATTATCACTATTAGCAACACTACCACCATCATCAAGTATCTGTGTGTGTGTCTTAGGGTGCAGCCCAATGACGAGAAGATAATCTTTGAAAACGGCCAGGTCTACCATCGGCTGCAGTGTATCAACACCTTCGGCCAGTGGATCAACTCCATTGTCCAGTTCGGACTGAGCCTCCACCGCATGGGCCTGGACATCTCCTCTCTGGCCTGCATGAGTGCGCTGTCCATGATCACACGTCAGTAGTTTTCTTTTATTTTCTCTATCTCTCTTTCTCTCTCTCTTTCTCTCTCTTTCTCTTTCTCTTTCTTTTTCTCTTTCTCTTTCTTTCTCTCTCCTTCTCTCTCTCTCTCTTTCTCTCTCTTTCTCTTTCTTTCTCTCTCTTTCTCTCTCTCTTTCTCTCTCTCTCTTTCTCTTTTCTCTCTCTCTCTTTCTTTTTCTCTTTCTGTCTCTCTTTCTGTCTCTCTTTTTCTCTCTCTATTTTCTCTCTCTTTTTCTCTCTCTTTCTCTCTCTCTCTTTCTCTCTTTTTTCTCTCTCTCTTTCTCTCTCTCTTTTTCTCTCTCTCCTTTTTTTCTCTTTTTCTCTCTTTTTCTCTCTCTTTCTCTTTCTTTCTCTCTCTCTTTCTCTCTCTTTCTCACTCTTCTCTCTATCTTTCCCCCTCTCCTTCTCTCTCTTTCTCTCTCTTTCTCTTTCTCTTTTTCTCTCTCTTTTTAACTCTCTCTCCTTGTATCTCTTTCTCATCTCTTTTTTCTCACTTTTTTTTCTCTCTCTCTCTCTCTCTCTCTCTGTTTTCTTTCTCTGGCTTTCTCATGTGAGAATACATGACGCTTTGCTACATGTTCTTGTCTTCTTCTGTCTGTCTTGCTATTTTGTTTTTTATTTTATTTCTTTATTGATTGAGATGATGTCTTTGATTCTTTGATGTACTTTCTCGCTACCTCGTCATTTTTTTTAAAAATCTGTATAAATAAAAATGTAAATTTCCTTTGGTTGTAATAGTTAATCTCTGAAAGTTTTTTTACCGATTGCTTTCAAATTTTCACACAACGTTGTAATAGACTGAACGCGTGTATTTATGTAAGAGTGTCGCACAAACCACGAACTAGATTGCTACAGAAACAATGACATCGGTTTTTGTTTCGTTGCCGGCTCGAAGTTGTTTATAGTTGCGCTGGTAGGCGAGCTTTGACTGTTGACCTCAGACTCTGTATGAAACTACGCCCAAAAGTCTTCACTGATTACCTTGAAAACTTCACACAACGTTAAATTCGAATACGCGCGTTTTTATTGAAGAGTTTTACACAAGAGCATGAACTAGCTAGCTCCAGCGACAATCACATCGGCATCATGGTTTTGTTTTCCCAAATCCAATTTATTTTTCTTCTTCGCTGCGAGCACGACGCAAGTTGTTATTTACACTGATAGGCGACCTTTGACTATTGACCTCTGCATGAAGCATGAAGCTGGTTGTTATGGTATCCAAGTATTGTTGACAGAGTGTGTGGAAATGTTAAAATGTGGGCATTTCTTCCGTGAAGGAGAGAGGTGTAGCATTTGGGATGGGGAAAACATGGCCCAAAAAGGGGGGGGGCGGGGGTGATGACAGAAACTGTTAACTGAGAGAGCATAAAGTTCATTTTAGTTCTGGGTGGACACGGATGTCACAGTCAATTTAAAATCATCAGGTAATAAATTTCGTATACTTCGGAGGGGGAGAGAGGATTAGTTCGTGGATGGGGGGGGGGGGGGGGGGGGGGGGGGGTTGACACTGTTAACTGACAAAGCTGAAAACATGATTTTAAAGTGTCAATTTAATTGATTATTTATATTTTCATTTAATAATAAAGATAACGCTTCCTCAGCTTTTCTAGTGTTTTTGTTCTTGAGAACAATCTATCAGCCCTTATCATCTATTATGTGAATGTGTTTGTAAACTTTGTTTGAACAGATTATGTTTGATTCCCTCAACAGTTAGACATGGACTCCGGGAGGCGGACAGAATGGAGGAGCTCCAGATGAAGATCATCGACTGTCTCCGAGACCACTGCACCTACAACAGTGAGGCTCAGAGAAAGACCCATTACTTCTCCCGGATCCTCAGCAAGATGGCCGAACTGCGGACTCTCAGCCGCGAGGGGCTTCAGTGCTTGCAGAATGTCGCCAATTTTGATGAATCGATTGTGGCTCCTGCTGTCATTCAGAGTTTTATCTCTAACCAGTTGCCTTTCTAGATGGTGATGTGCCCATTGCTCTTTCTCTCACCTAGCTGGATTCTGAACATTTGAGAGGGAACGTGCTAAGATAAGAATCGAACATGTGTCTCGGTGAGCGTGCAATGAAAGGGAATGTGCTAAGACAGGTATCGAACATGTGTCTCAGTGAGTTTACACTCAAAGGGAAAGTGCTAAGACAAGTATACAAAAAAAAATGTCTCAGTGAGCTTGCACTCAAAGGGAATGTGCTAAGACAAGTATGGACGGTGTGTCTCCCTGAGCTTGTCCACGGCTGGGTAAGGCGTTGTAGAGAGTGGCTCTGTAACTAGTTTGAAAGCGGCTCTTTTCGCCTGTTTCCATGTTGAAGCGGTCATCGGCAGCCAAGCTGCATTCATTCGTCAGATCAGTTGCTCTAATGCTGCTTGATTTATGCAAACATTGAACACCTTCTGTCAGCTGTCAGCAGTAACAGGTAGGATGCGATAATCTTTTACATACTCGGCTGTGAGGGAAAATGACACTTTATGTACTCACCTGTGATGTGGAAAATGACACTTTGTATAATCAGCTGGGAGAGGGAGGTGGCGGGACTTTTCATGAGAATACTTTATCTATGACAATTTTTTAAATATTGGATTACACTGAACAAATAGCTCATGAGCCCACTGTGAAGACTACAGTGGTGGCATGAAATGTAGCAATGTGAAGACAACAGTCGCGGCATGAAATGTAGCAATGTGAAGACAGCAGTCGCGGCATGAAATGTAGCAAAGTAAAGACAACAGTCGCGGCATGAAATGTAGCAATGTGAAGACAACAGTCGCGGCATGAAATGTAGCAAATTGAAGACAACAGTCGTGGCATGAAATGTAGCAAAGTGAAGACAACAGTCGCGGCATGAAATGTAGCCATGTGATGACTTCAGTCGCGGCATGAAATGTAGCAATGTGAGGACTTCAGTCGCGGCATGAAATGTAGCAATGTGATGACTTCAGGCGCGGCATGAAATGTAGCAATGTGAAGACTACAGTCGCGGCGTGAAATGTAGCAATTCATTGTATTCTTGCCTGGTCGAAGCTTCAGGCTATTTGGTAGCTGTCGGGAGCCTCAGCATAATGTTACTGGTACATGTGGCCTACTAGGATGTGTATACGTAGGATTCTCATCCTTGGGGTGTGGGTCTGTGAAGTGCAAAACTGGAGGGTACAAGATGCAATGGAGGCAAATGTAGTTAGCGAGTGAAGCTCCTAGCTGCACAGTGCGTCCTGGACCTGTTCCTGCTATCAACGAGTGGTCTAATCCCAGCAGACTGGTGTCACTGAGTGAAACACTCGAGCACTTTGCTGGTGTTGCAAGGATCTGACGTCAGGCTTGGACCGATGAGACACATTGAATGATGTGTTCAGTCGCCGCTGGTAGATATTTGAATTTGGACTACCTGGGAGACGGGTACATTTCCTTGCTGGCCTTGAGTGGACTGTAGAAGGCACCCACTAGCGCTAATCATCCCCAACCCATGCCCCAGCTTCCCAGATTGAGGTCAGCCTCTAAAGGTGAATGTTTAGAGACCTTACAAGTGTGTAATTATCTAAGGCTTGTGCCTGGCGTACATAAAACTGTGCTTTTATGGGCTCCTCCGTGTTGTAGTTGTTGTGGTTGTTGTTGTTGTTGTTGCTGTGGGGAAAAAAAAGAGCATGTTGAATGCTTTCTGATGTTAGTAATAAAATCAGATAGTTTAGTTTAATTTATTAATTGCCATATTTATGCATTTATTTTTATTGTTCCTGTTAAACGTCAAATCGTTTTTTTTTTTTTTTTTTATATTGAAAACTCAGAGATTGTAATTGAAATGTTGCTGTTGTTATCGTATGTCAGCTTGACGTTGTGTGTACCGACCTGGTGTCTGCACAGACAAACACTACAGTTGCATATATTTATACTGAATAAGCAATTAAATTATTCTCGTTGTCTGAATTGATTTTTAAAAAAAATACATATATAGACTGTAATCACATTAAATTGCTGGTCATGCCTTGGTCTAAATGTCAATAAAAGTAATTGCGTGTACATAGTTGCGTGTACATACTTGCGTGTACATACTTGCCTGTACATACTTATATGTACCGAAAGAAGTTATATATTTTACAATTATAAAAATTTATATTTTTTGTGTTTATTTGTTGTTCTTGGACAATATGTATTCACTAATAGCAACTAGTAATGTTGAACAATAACTATACGTATAAATACATATACCAGAGTTCATCTATAAAACGGGGTTCCTCTATCGCCATACTTCTTTCCCTAAGTGCCGATCAATACATGTATGTTTGTTTTTTATATATATAAACACTCACACGCACACGCACACACACACACGCACTTACACACACGCAAACACACACGCACATACACACATGCACCGCACATACACACACGCACGCACGCACATACACACATGCACCGCACATACACACACGTTTCTACCTTCTCAGTGGTGGCGCATCTGTTTTGCTCCTGTGTATTATTCACAATAATAAATTGTGTGTATGTATGTGTGTATGTATGTGTGCGTGTATGTGTGTGTTTCCCCTTTTCAATCTATTCTTAGTTAATGTAAATGTATGTAACCTATGGTGTGTGTTTTTTTTTACATTAACTCTTTGAGTCCCAGAGGGTTTAGCATCACAGGCCCAAGGGGTAGTCAAAAGAGACTAAAATCGGCGTATCTTGCGTTCATTGGGCTTCTAGGTAGTAACCTATGAACGTATGATGCGTTCCTTTGGACTCAAAGAGTTAAGGCCCACTAATCTGCCTGTTGATGGCATATTTTTAGTTTGGTTTAGTTTGCCATGCCTCTTGGTATGTTTGTTCCTGTACCGAGGTCCTGTGGTCATCTGGCGGTGACAGGCTCGTTTCCCAGCGCGATAACTGCAAATCTCGAATTTATGTTTTTAATGTGTTCTTCTGTCTTTCTACCTGTTTCTATGAGGTCTTTGTATCTACTCTTGCTCTGGCCCAGGGTGTGACTGACCTTTTTTTTCCCGCCATATTGTGATAGGGACGTTGATGTTTGTTTGTTTTAGTTTCCAGAAGCCATGAGTTGTTAACGCTTAGACTCGGTATTATGGATATCGCAACCTTTCGGCCTTGATTCCATTGTAAATACCGTAAATCTGGGAGAAAATGTGGCTTTTCTGCCTACCCCCGGAAGTGAACCCGGACCACAAGGAGTTCGTCACCCGGTCACCGCGCAAACCGGTTTAGCCAACTACGCTAGAGAGCCGGGCTAGGGACGTTGATAATCAAATATTCAGCTCATCCGCCCAACTGGCTCGGTGACCAGAACTGACTAGCTTTGTGGAAAGGGGGGGGGGTGGGGGGGGCGGGGGGTTGTTAGTGTATGGATTATGTAGTTCGGTGCGTGTACGAGTGTGTGTATGTCTATAAGCATTTGTGAATATGTGGCATACTAAATAAAAATAAGACAATCATTATGCACTTATGGGCAGACAATGACATTTTGTGGAGGAGTCAAAGAATGAATGAAAGAAGGAGCGGAAATGATGTGAGAAAACAACGTTAGATGTCCCTGCACTTATGGGCAGACAGTGACATTTTGTGGAGGAGTCAAAGAATGAATGAAAGAAGGAGCGGAAATGATGTGAGAAAACAACGTTAGATGTACCTGCACTTATGGGCAGACAATGACATTATGTGGACGAATCACAAAATGAATGAAAGAAGGAGCGGAAATGATGTGAGAAAACAACGTTAGATGTACCTGCACTTATGGGCAGACAATGACATTATGTGGACGAATCACAAAATGAATGAAAGAAGGAGCGGAAATGATGTGAGAAAACAACGTTAGATGTACCTGAAATTATGAATTAAATTATATGAAGAGAACTAAAACAACTAGTCCTTTATCTTTTTTTTTTTTTTTTTTTTGGTGTTTGTGACATAGTTACAGTCTTGTCTGATCGTTGTAAACAGGAGACTAGTCAACTTCTGTATGAGTGTTTGTGACATAGTTACTGTCTTGTCTGATCGTTGTAAACAGGAGACTAGTCAACTTCTGTATGAGTGTTTGTGAAATTGTTACACTTTTGTCTGATCTTTGTAAACAGGAGACTAGCAACGCCTATCTTGTCTGACTCAGAGAGTTGTTAGCACCTTTCCGTTTGTCCCATCAACTTGGCAGTCCCGGGCAAGTGACCAGTCGGTTCATGTGTGAGGGCGGCAATGGTACCCCCACAGATAATATGTACATCGAAAGATAAACAATAATAAACCTTCACAAAGATGTAGTTATCGAAATTAAATAAAACTTGCAGAATGATGGAAAATAATGTCTGTTTGATTTTTAATACTTCTTCTTTAATTATACTTGAAAAGTTGTCTCCCATTGTTGATCTTTTGTAAAACAATTGCAAAGTCTCTGATCAGAGCCTCAAACCAGTCTGTTGCAAGACATCTGCCTTTATATCTAACCGAGGTAAAACATCCAGCCTGTCTTGTTCTTGTTGTGTTGATGTTCTGGTGGGCATTTTTGATATACTTCAACCAAGAAGAAAAAAAAAAAACGTTCAACTATAAGGTCACCATAAATGCCTGAGGTGCCCCCTTCCTTTATGATGCACTAAGCACGTTCTTTATGTGCTTAGTGGTTATCCGACCCTGACTACCAGGATAATGTTTCGGTGCCCCAGTAAGAGTGTGTTCACCATTTACTCGGGCAAGTCGCGATAAGACAGTTAGGATCAGTGATACTGAAATGTATCCGCAATGTCCATTAGGGTTGTGTTGAATTGAGCCCCGAAACCATAGCACTCGGGACATTTCCACAATTGCTTTGTACCCATGTTCAGCAGCCAGTTCCAGTTTTGATGATTCAAGTAGCAGTCCGATTGTATGTCGCCCCTGCCTTCTCAATCTCATTGCTGGATGTTGAGCAGATCTTCAGGTCTAGTGCTGGATGTTGACCAGATTTGTAGGTCTAGTGCTGGATGTTG